AGCAGCAGCAGCAGCAGCAACTGTCACCGCATCTGCAGCAGCAGCAGCAGCGGCAGCCGCCGTAGTAGAAGCAGGAGTAGGAATAAAAGTTGGGAGTAGTTCGAGTAGCACCAACATGAACTAGGAGAACAAGCAGAATAACAGCGACGGGCTTGGCTTACTATGATCTCACTTTTGGGGCGGTACAGCTTTGCAACAGGTACCTTCCTACAAGCCCTCTTGAGACATGCCAGCTACCAGTAGCTCCCAGCCTGCTGCACGGTCTGCGTGGGCTGCTCCTATACGGTTTAGGGTTTAGGGCTTAAGGTTTAGGGTTTAGGGCGACTGATGGACCGATTCGAGGCTTCCGGCTCGGCAGTTTAAGGTTTCAGGCTTCAGGGTTTTGAATGTTAAGATGTTGGTCTAGGTTTGGGTTTCAGGATGCACCCTCAACCGTCCCTAAAACCCAAACCCTGGACTCCGGGATTCGCGAACCTCGGAGTACTGGGACGAGACTTCAAGGAGAGCCCGAAAGCCCGAAACCCCAAACCCTAAACCCTAAACTAAACCCTCAAGCCTAAACCCTAAACCCCAGTGCTCCACACTGAACCGACATCGCTCGAAAATCCTGCAAAAGGAGCTTTGAATCACATGACAAACCTCCAAACCCGCCTGAGGCCTCATCCGGGAGTACCCTTACATAGATTCCCAAATCAAGTATCGCCGCATGTGGGAGGACCCCTGCAAAAGGGTACACCCCCAAAGTCAAGAAACCCTTCTCTCAATTTCGAGATACCCTAAACCTTAAACCTTAAACCTTAAACCCTAAACCCTATACCCTAAACCCTAAACCCTAAACCCTGTACCCTAAACCCTAAACTCTAAACCCGTATCTCCGACCTCGCGGCGCTGCTCTCCGGGGATGTCGACTTCACGGACATTTCCCTGCAGAGTCTGCCCCTCCTGGCACGGAGGTTGCGGATGCGGAACCCTAAACCCTAAGCCCTAAATCTCAAGAAATAACTACACGGAATATGGATAGTCACCAAGCCCTAAATTGTTTAGGGCTTTGTTTTGACAGCTTTTTTCCGGCTGCCGTAGGTTCGGTCGCTCGTGTCTTCGGTCCCTGCATCCTCACTGCCACCTTCCCCTTGCCATACATTCACTCCCTCATCAGCGTCCACATCACCATCCGGAGACGTATCTGCCACCGAGCTCTGCGGCACCTCACTGTGGACCCCTGCCATGTTCACGGAGGGCCTTTGCTGGGGAGACCAGGGGAATCCGTACATCTCCGACATCATGCCTTGGCGCCATCAGGGCCCCTCTGCTTCCACAGACTTTGAGGGCGATGAAAGGCCTCATTACCTGGGTTCTTGTGAAAGGATTTAATTTAAGTGACCGTAATGGGGATCTACAGTAAGTAAGACGGTTTCTTTACTATGGTAACCTATATCAAACCCCTTAACAAGAACCCAGTTACGTCCTGAGCCGCAACCGCCGTAGCAGCCTTGAGCAGGCCCTGCTGAAAGCCAAGCCCCGACAGCATGCTTTGCAGCGGGCCCTTCCACGTAGCTAGGGTCGACTGGCCGAATTCGGCGCACATCCACTTGAGACAACGCGGCAAAGACAGGTAAGCCAAGACCGCCGACATGGCCTTGGAGGCTAGCTCCTGCAAAGCAAGCCCTAAGGCAAGCCGTCGACGCTCAGAAAATCCCCCGATGCATCCACCATGCAGGCTCTCCTGCTTGCGAACTGTGAGACCCAGAATGCCAAACCATAGTTCCTCCAGTTGGGCCTCTGTCATGATGTTCGAGTTCCTCGAAGTGAGCTCGTAGGCGTTCTGAAAGATCTTCATGCACTTCTGGGCCTCCGGAAAGCCCTCGTACCATGCCTCTCGGTGTCCAGGCCCCTCGGCACCGTTCAAGAGGCGTTTCACAGCCTTTGAAACAGCGCTGCGGTCCGTCCCCTGGCCAGCGAAAGACACGCAGAGCTTCTCCGTGGCGTCCTGGCAATCATTCAACACCAGCTGCAAGACGCCGGCAAAGTCACCAGTGCGCTCCAAGAGATGCACCGAAGCATCAGTGACACCGTACCTGCTGCAAAGCTCGAGGCACTCCCGCAGCGGCAAAGCCTCGTTCTCCAGGATGAACGGCAGAACGGTTTCAGGGCAGTGTTGGCACAACAAGTCAATGTAATGAACTACGTGCTCGTTGAAGAACGCCTGCCGGTCCGCAAGACCAAAGCGGCGGCTGAACAAGGCCTCGAAGTAGTTCATCTCCATCTGAGGAAACTGCTTCAAGCGCTCCAACACAAGCGCGTGGTCCGCTGTGGCAAACTGCTCGCAGAGCATCAAAGAGCATCGTTCTTTGTCTACGTCCACCAACTCCTGGAGTCTCTGAAGGGTGGCTTCCACAAGAGGAGCACCTACTTCATCCAGTTTTGTGATGATGTATTCGAAGATTTGCTCTCGCAGCTCCGGCTCCTGCAGCCTGCAGTCCAGGGCCTTCCCGAACTCACCACGCCTCTCATGCAACCATGCTGCAAGCCCCAGGAAGTCGGTCATTGCCTTCACAATGATAGCATCGAGTTGGCTGTTGTCAAAGTCCTGCGTGGCCAAGACGCCGATCAGAAGTTGCTCTGCTTCAGACCGCTGCCTTCTCCCTCTAAGGGGCCAGGACAGCAGATGATCGACCACCTGCGTGACCTCCTCTACACTTAGCTGAGGTTTTGCACGAGGCACGGATCTTGCCACAAACCACAAATACTCCTTCTGGGTGTGAGCAGAAAGGGGGCTGTTCTCCTTGACAGCATCTAGCGACGACCGAATCAAGTGGAACAAACCTTCCAGGCCACTGTCCTCCTGTCCAGACCAGTCCCCCTGGTGAACTGCACGGCTTCCAGACGGCGAGGTGAAAAGCAATGACAAAGTGCGAAACAGGCCCAGGGAAGACAGCCGCAGCAGGCGTTGAAACATCGGGGGAACCTTCTGACTTGGATCAGGTGGAACTTTGAAGATACAGGCCAGCAAATCTGTGATCGCGCTTGGAGGCACGGCCACATCCTTCGAATCAAGCGGAAATGGCCGTAACTCGAAGCATTGGTGAAGGAAGAAGAACAACTTCCGAACCAAGCGGCACTGCAGTAAGGGTGCTTCCTCCGAGCACACACGGGCTGGTGTACACGCCTTTGCCAGCTGTGCACATTCTCCGACAAGAAGTTCCAGTGGAGTCACATAATCTCCGAGAACACAGTATACATGAACCAACGCGGTCCACAATCTGTGCTGTGTAAACAGCCGGATGGCCAGGTTCAGGTCAAGCTTTGCAACATCCACACATAGCACCAGTTGTTGCAGCCTGCGTGCCACGGGAAAGAGCTCCGGGAAGTGGTCGCAGTCAACGAAGCAGGGTCCGCCTTGGCTGTCTTTCGCCAGCTTCGCTGCCTCAACCTCTTCCTCTTGGAGTGGCAAAGTGTAGGACTGAAGGATGCTGGAGAGGACCTCGGAGTCCATCTCAGCACGAGGGATCCTGGCATCCAAAATAAAGGGCTCCAGGGAGGCACAGTAGACGTGCATGTGGCCAGTGGCCTTGAAGCACTCGAAGACGGTCTTGTGCAGCACCGGCCAAAGCTGTGCTTGAACACAAACGCTAACCGCCGTCGAGCAAATTTCTCGCACCTTGGAACGGTCAGCGTCTGGGCGCAGAGTGTTCACCAGGTAAGACTGGATGACCTGCGTTGTGCGCAGCTCCACCGCTCGCTGGCGCAAGGCTGCTTGATGCGGAAAGTCCAGAAGTGGCGGCAGGAAACCACGATGCAATCTCAAAAAAACGTTAAGTGCTGCTGACCAATCATTCCTTGACACGAGAGACTCAATGTGTTGACCCCAACGAGCGATCTGCAGACACCACACCTCCTTCATGCCACAAACATAAAGTGTTCGAGCACGTCCGCGAAAAACAGCCAGAGCATTGTGATGAGAGCGAATGTCCTTCCCTTCTTGGCTGGTGTGAAATACCAACGACCAGTGTGTCACATCCTCGGTATGCACGGCAGACAATGACGTTGGAGTGGTCGACAACCCAGCAGTGTCTGGTAGCTGCACCACACTGAGCCTGCCGGAAGCATCAAGAATTGCCAAGACGCTATCCGTGAATGCAATGAGGCCACGCAAGGGTGATCCCCAAGAGAAGCGGCCTACGACTGAGACCTGAAACTCCTCTTTGCCATCACGCTCCACATGCATCACCCGCATCAGGTGGATAGTCTGCCCATATGCAACACAAAGCTGTGGATCAGCAGAATCCGCCTGCGATGGCTCTGCGATTTCCTGACTTTCACGTCGAAGCCACGCTGCATCTGGAACCCACGACGCATCTTTGGCGTTGTACTGCATCTTTTGCACGACCTGCGCGCTTGGATGGAGGGTCAGAAGTACCGTGGCATTGCTCGCACAAAGGCCCACCAAACAGCGGGCATCTGCAGGATGAGTCTGGGTAGAAATCTGAAGTAATGGCAACACACGAAGTGCGACGCCAATGTTGGAGGATTGCTCGATGAGCAGCTGCTTTTCAAAATCCAAACGTCCAAATGTGCCCGTGAAGAAGGTGACAAAGTAAACACAACCCTTGGCATCTGCAGAAAGGGCATACTGCCAGCTGGGACGGCAAAAGGCCAAGGAAATAACTGCACTGGAGTGCAGCTCCTGCACCATGCAGGCTATCTTTGGTGCCGCTAGGTCCCACAGCACGACATGTCCTGCCTTGTGCCCCACCAACAAACTGCCACCATCTTGTGAGAACGCAGCAGCCGTCACAGCCGAGGTCTCCTCACCCAGGGTCAAGACCTGCGGCTTCGGGGAAAGATCTTGCAGGCGCTGATCAAGCAGTGCCACGGAGCCCCTCAGAGTTCCCACCGCAACCACTTTGCTGCTTGCCGCAACACAGGTGGGCAGCCCAATTTCCTGAGCCAGCTGACGTCGAAGCTCCGAACTGGGCTTCACCTCGACCAATTGGGGAGGTCGCACCTCTGCTGCAGATTGGGCCACTGTCACTTTTTCTCCAGGACCAAGGTCGTTGAAGTCTGTCGAATGTCCATGTGCTGCGCCGGGCGCAAACAGCAAGGATCGTTCGTGCTCCGAAGACCATGTGAAAGGAGCTTCAAGGAATTCCTCCATCTGATCCCTTTGACCTGAGACATCTGTGGTCCCATCAGCAATTTGCCTCTCGGGTGGTGCTACACCGTCTTCTGTTGTTGCCGCAAGCTGCCTCGGCTGCGTCTCATGAGTCTTACCGCCTTCACTGGATGTCTCCGAGTCCATCGCCAGCAACTCATCAAGGCCAACCATCTGCCCAGTCTTGGCCTGTGAGCCATCACTTGCATCATCCACGCGTCCTTCAGACGGCACGGTGCCCAACCGTGAGGAGCCCTCTGGCCCCAGCCTAGCAGCTGCTTCGGGATGCCGCTGCTGCTGCGGCGGCCCAAGCTCGTCTTCGTCCTCAGAGAAGTCAGCCTGGGCGAGGGCCTCCGCTAGTGTCGGCGCTCGGGAAGTGCAGGCCCCTTCCTTCTTGGCTTCCGGCTTATCACCAAGGGCTCCATCTTTAGAAGACGCTGGTCCCTCCTCATCACTAGATGACTCTGCAAGAAGTTGGTCGACGCTGAGGGACATGAATGGCTAACCGCAGCATCGCTCACAAGAGCTCGACATGGCTTCGCATGGCTGTGGGGAGTTGGACTTGCATGATTGAAAAGGTTCAGGGCTTTAGGTTCCCGAGGAGAATTCCAAGACGGCCCCCGTTGCAACGGTGTTCAACGGTGTTGTAGGGTTTGGGGGGTTAATCTGCCTTCCAAAGCAGAATGAGAATTGGTGTTTATACCATAGTCTAACTTCCAATAAGGAACCTGAAGAATAGTATTACTGATCAAGGAGCTTCTAAAAATGCAAGCAGAACGCGGATCCCTGGATGGTTCGAGACATGCAAGCTACCTCATTGATCGGCAATGGGTTGGCGAATGGACTGCCCTAAACCCTAAACCCTAAACCCTAAAGTAGCGCCTGTGGAATCTCCACAACCTTCTGGACCACCTGGACCTTGGAGCTGTCACATGCTTGGATCCTGGTTTTAAGGTCGAGGTTTCATACATATCTTTATGTATATATATATATATATATGTGTGTGTGTGTGTGTGTATGTATATGTATACATATATACGCATATATGTATGTCTATGTCTATATGGCGATAGATAGATAGATAGACAGACAGACAGATACATAGACAGACAGATAGACAGACAGAACAGATGGACAGATAGACAAATAGACAAATAGACAGATAGACAGACAGACAGACAGACAGATAGATAGATAGGCAGATAGATAGATAGATAGATAGGTGGCTATAGATGAAAACGAAGATGTAAACAGTGTGTGTGTGCATATCTCTATGCTTTGTGCATATATATATATATGTCTACATTTATTTGTTTGTTTATTTATACCATACATATATACATATGTATACATGTATGGACACATGCATGCATACATACATGCGTACGTGCATACATGCATACGCATATGTATGTACATACATACATACATACATACATACATACGTACATACATACATAAACATACACAAGTACACTTGAATGCATATGAGTATGTGTTTTATGCATACAGCGCGTATATTGCTGTGTACATATACGTGAATATGTAGAAAGGTTTATACTGCGGTAGAGGCAGAAGATGCAGGCATGCAGAGGAACGAAACAGTACAGCTACATACAAGCCTGTACAACAGTAGCAACATTAGCAACATTCCCGACAGCGCGCGTCAATATACGTGGCACACGCATTTTGACATGTTGACACATGCACCATGATAGTGAACACAGCGAAACATGCAACCGTGCAAAATACAAGGGCTTATTTGAGCATACAAAAGTGTAAGAGAATATCGACGAAGATGCTCATGCATATTCAGTATTTCTTGTGTGTACTAGTACAATAGTGGAGTATCTGATGACACGCACAGAGGATACATGCAGCAGCACTTATTGCGGTGTACCTACCATGCCGACCCTTCTCGTGACACAAGCAAATAACAACAATCAACATACATGTCAAGAAATGCAGTCGTATGTACTATGCACTGCGTTGTCTTTGCATACCTTTATGAGACATGGTTGCGCAGATAGAATGCCCTCAACTTCCAAACATAGCGAAGAAGAATGTACAGGCATGTCAATATGGGCGTGTACAACAGGGGCTCCCGAACATGCCGGCAATGGCACATCAATTTATGTAGAAGCCACATGAAGCTACAACGATATGTACCATTGTCACAGTACATTACATTGCGCAGCAACAACCCACAATACCTCTGAGAAAACAGGTGCATCCTTCACGCACATGCGAATCGCAGCTTCATTCCTTCCTACCCACCTGTCTATTTATGAAAACAAAATATATGATACAGACTGTGCATTTTCGCGAACAAGACAAATCGGAAGGTGCGTGTGCATGCATGTATATACACATGTACATGTACACATATATGTACATATACACATCTAGACTTATAGACTATACTTAAACACATATATACTTATATACATGTATGCATACATGCATACATACATACATACACATACATACAACTTTCTCATTTCAGGCTTCTCGATATGGTGATATTTTGATGTGAAAGGAACATTTGCTGCCGGCATGCACAACTCAGCCCAAAATGCTCAGACTTGTCGCTCGCTCGGCTACCGTGTACAAAGACTTGGACAGAAAGCGGATCTGCTACACATCCTCCAGCTGACCCTGCACAGCACTACTGTCACCCCCAGCACCAGCTTCACCACAGGTCACAATGGATCCAACGCGAAGAATGACCGCAAAAGCGGTGCGAGTGGCTTGGATCTGCTGTACATTCTTCAACTGGCCCTGCACAGTACCAGCGTCACCACCATAGTGAGGAGTATCCCAGGCCTGCACAGTGTTACTGTCACCACCGAAGTCAACATGACCCCATGCCATGACAGATGCGTTGCCAACGACGGCAGCAAAAGCCTCCGTGGTGCCACATACCTGCCCTCGGTGTATGTGCAGTCAAAAAATCACCTATTTCCACATGGGTCTGCCGCCCTGCCGCTGAGCAGCCTAACTTCCACAGCCTTCGACATGTAGACGACAAGCTGTGAGAAATCACAGCAATTAGTACCAACAGCTCTACAGGAAATTCGATAATGGTTACGATGATCTTCGTCCTCGACAGTGTAGTAATACCAGCAGTAGACCATCTTACGGGAGGTGAGTGGCAGCACAGGAAATAGCGTATTGAGAGAGAAATGCACATGCATGCGCATGTTCATGTACCTACACATATGCACAACGATTCTCAAACACGACATCACAGCCCCGCGTCCCCACGACAGAAAGCCACCATGATAAACACACAAACCCTTAAACTCAGAAGAACATGAAAACCCAAAAATGACAGTCTTAAAGGTTAGGACAACATCGAGGCCTTTCCCTATTTTGGGGTACATTGAAATATCGCCTAGGTATATGAGGACTATACCTGGAAAATATTACTAAGTGTTCAGCCTCCTGCTTTATAAGAGCCCTAGTTCAAGGAAACTACAGGTGGGGAGTTTAGGGTAGACAGGGCTTCTATAAGGCTTCTACAAGGTATATAGACCTTCTATAAGGATCCTATCACCATAACTACCCAGCTGGAACTGTCCTAGACCTAGAACCTCAACCCTAAACCCCCTGACCCCCTACGCGCCCCAAATCCGAAAGCACCGAGGCAGATCCCACTCTGAGCAAGGGACCATCGGGACCTCCACGATCCTCTCGATGGTCTGGACCTACATGGCGTATTAGAGAAGCCTAGAAAATTGCCAATATTATTCCTCAGGGTTCCCTGGTATCGATATACTATAAATTCTGATTACCAAGGCCCCTCTATTACTGTTTAGGGCTTCAGGAGCCCACGGTTTGGTGGAATTTCGGATTTGGAGCAGCTTTGGGGAAAGTTTCGCGTTTGGGGTTTAGGGTTCTGGCGTGTTGGGCTTCAAAGCCCTGGGCTTCATTTCGGCTTCAAGGGTTTCCAGGGCTTTTGGGCCTTTCATGTCATGCAGGCTCTGTAGCTTCATTCTTGATTCTCGGGTTTGGGGTTTAGGGTTTGGGGATTGGGGTTTTCGGGTTTAGGGTTCAGGGTTTCCTTAACCCTAAACCCTAAACCCTAAACCCAAGACCCTAAACCCTAAACCCCTAAACCCTAAACCGTTTAGGGTTTGGGACTTTGAGGAAATTCAAGCCGTGTACCTGGCCTGGGGCACTTCCCGCTGCTTCACCACGGGGATGTCCACGACCTTCTCGGTGGTCTCAATCACGTTGACCTGCAAAAGGGTTTTGGGTTTAGGGTTGAGGGTTTAGGGTTTAGGGCTTAGGGTTTAGGGTTTTGGGGGGGGTTCTGCAAGGGTTGTGAGAAGGGGCTTATATACGGGTGGTTACGCAAAATCGCAAATCTTGGCCTTGCAACCCTAAAGCACACCATCCACAGAGGCTTCACCCTATACCACAGCTACTTCATAATTAGAATAGGGTTTTGGAGTATATTCTACTATCATTATGTTAAGAAACCACCAAAATAGTATAGGTATAGGTAACTATGTAGGCCCCTTTACTATACCCACGACCCCCAGGCCCCCCCCAAAAAAACCCACTGTCACCACATCCCTGGGCCCCGAAGCCCCACACCCCATTAAACTCCCCCAAACCACCCGGATAAACCCAACCGTAGCCCCTTTGGTTTAGGGTTTAGGGCGTTAGGGCTTTAGCCCTTAGTAAACCAAAGGAACAGGGCCTCCACCGGGCGCTCAACTGGAACTTGCACCGGCACGTGGCGGTGCTTCTGGATTGGGATATGGACGTGCTGATCCTTGAGGGTTGCAAGCTTTCCAAGTTCGGGGCAGAAGCCCACGGTTTAGAGTTAAGGGTTTCGGGTTTAGGGTTTAGAGTTTAGGGTTTAGGGGTCTACGATTTCGGGCTCAGGGTTCATAGTCGTAGCTAGCACTGTTCATGGACTCTGTTGTGGTCAGTCTGGTTGCTGCGATAGCGATCAGTGTGGAGGTGTATGCAAACCCATTTTCCCCCCAACCCCACACTAAACCCTAAACCCATTTATGTTTCCCTAAGCCCCTACACTCAACCCTAAACTCATTTTCCCTAAACCCTAGACTTCTGGACCAAGAGTCAATGTACTCAATCTGGGGAACCTCAATCTCGCGGTTCACCTCGCCCACGACAGACTCTTTAGGGTGCCCGGTGTAGGTCTTTGGGCAAAAAGATGGGCCATCATATTCAGAAGAAGGTTGCGGGTGAAAATTTACACTCTAATTCGACGTAGACAGGGAGCATCAGGAATCGTGAGTACTAAGTTCAAAGACCTCTTTGTTATTGTCGTTAGTACTACTGTTGTTGTTGCTGCTGTAGTTGTAGTTGGGGTTGTGGTTGCAGTTGTAGCTGTAGTCGTAGTCGTAGTCGTAGTCGTAGTCGTAGTAGTAGTAGTAGTAGTAGTTGTTGTTGTTGTTGTTGCTGTTGCTGTTGTTGTTGTTGTTGTAGTTGTTGCTGTTGCGGCAGGTGTAGCT